GCTTATGCAGCAGCAAGGAAGCATCCCTCTGGAAGAAGACATTGAGGATGTCGATGAGGCGCGTGAGGTTGTGGAAGACGTGCTCCTTGAGCGCCGGACTGTCCTCAAAGTACAGTAGCTTGCCGCTCTCATGCAAGTAGGAGAGGGCACTCTGCAGTCGGTCCTCGGTCAGACCCGCCTGCAGGCCCAGGCGCGCCGAGTCCCACCAGCTTAGCCACAGTCGCTGTGCCTGAGGTGGCTGGAAATGCAGTTCCTCCAGCACCTGCCAGGATCGAGGCAGTACTCGGTGTAAGTTGGGGAAGATTTCTCGGTGCTCAGCGACTGAGAGCAACTTGTCCCGAAGGCGTTGCAAATGGCGCGGGTCCCTGCAGCTAACAGGCAGCACCGGGGAGAGGATCTGCAGTCGGTGGTTGAGCAGGTATTGAAAATGGGCCTTGCGCCGTCGAAGGTTCTTGTCCGAAACGCCGTAGTAGGCTGCGTGGGGGCTGGCAGAGCGCAGCTCGAAGTCCCGGGTCAGTGCCTCGTCCACCACCTGGGCCAGGCGGCTCAGCCCCTCCGAGTCATGCTTCTCCTGCAGGGCGATCTGGCGGTGAATGTCCAGACACTTCTCCTCCAGCTCGCGCTCCCCGCACAGGTCTGCGTGGGTGCCCACGATGCACACCACCGCGTGGGGCACTCTCGCCCCGACCCGATGCAAGAAGGAGCCCACGGTGCTGGGAAAGCGGAGAGGCTCATAGGTGGCCAAGTTGACCACAAGCACGTACAGGGCCCCCGGAGACAGGAAGAAGGGCTGGATCACCTCGTAACTTTCATCCCCAGCTAAATCATACACGATGAACCGCAGGCCCCGGGAGACATCGGCCGTCCAGCTGGTCACCTCAATGCCCTTGCTCACAGGGGGAGGTGAAGGTGGGTAGCACTTCTCCTTGTCCCCTCCTCCCGGGCATCCCTCCACTCTCTCCTCGGTGAGGCAGTGGCGCAGCAAAGTCTTTCCTGCAGCCTTATGCCCCATCAGGAGCAGTTTGAGCCGGGGCTGCACCGCCGGCTGGGAATGAGCCAGCTCCTTCTGGTAAGCTGCAATGTAGGGGATCCCCTTCATGCAGACCTCGTAAGGGGGCTGGATCAGTGGGTTGTCCTTGATCTTCCACAAGCCCACCCGGGAGAGTTGCCCAAAGTTGTCGGGCAGCACCGCGATCTGGTTCCCCTGCAGCACGAGCTCCTCCAGGCCGGTCAACTCCACGATGGAGTCGGGCAGGTAGCGGATGCGGTTATTATCCAGCCACAGGGTGAGAAGCCGGCCCAGGCCCGAGATAAGGGATGGCACGGAGGTGAGCTGGTTGCGACTAAGGTAGAGCTCCTCCAGACCAGCCAGGGGCAGCAGCGCGGCAGGGAACTCCTCGAAGAGGTTGGAAGAGAGGTTGAGCATTTTGAGCCTCTGCAGGCGACTGAACTGGGCAGGCAGAGCCTGAAGCCCGTTGTTGTCCAGCATGAGGCTCTCCAAACTGGCCAGCTCGCAGAAGCCGGCAGGCAGCGTGCCAAGCTCGGCCCCACTCAGCCAGAGGATCTTGAGGGCACGCAGGGCATTGATATCCTCAGGCAGGCCCCGCAGTCGGTTGCTGGACACGTCCAGCTCCTCCAAGGCCGCCAGCTGCAGCAGCTGCCGGGGAAAGGCAGTGAGCTGGTTGTGATCCACGTCCAGGGTGCGCAGGCGGGAGAGGCAGGAGAGGGAGTCGGGCAGGTGCGCCAGCCGGTTAAAGCTGACATCCAGCTCCTCCAGGTGGGCGAGAGCTCCCAGCTGGGCGGGCAGGGCGGGCAGCTGGTTGTGGCTGAGGTTGAGCTTCCGCAGCTCCCTCAGAGCACTCACCACCTCCGCGCCCAGGGCGGTCAGCCGGTTGTGGCTCACGTCCAGTTCGGTGAGGTGGTGGCCGAGCTCGGCCACCGCCGAGGGCAGCCGGGCGAAGCGGTTCCTGCGCAGTACCAGGACGCGCAGGCTACCCAGCGCCGACCCCAGCCCATCGGGCACCTCCTCCAAGCCGTTGTTCCCCAAGTTCAGCGCCTCAATGTCCCCAAGATTGGCCGGCAGCACGAACTGGGCAGAGGCGGGGGACTCGAGCGGGTCGGACTCGGCCCCCGGGCAGGCCCCGGCGGCGCTGAGGGTGAGGTGGCGCAGGTTGCTCCGTAGCTTCCTGGCGCGCAGGGCGGCGTCCCGCCACAGCCTCGCCGTCTTCAGGTTGCCACTGTCCATCCCAGCCATTGCGGGGCCAGGCCGATAGCCTCCCGCGGGCGCGAGAGCCCACAGCTACATGCCGCGCCGCGTCCCGGGCCCTCCGGCTCCCGCCCCTGGCTGCCCTCCCGCGCACGGTGGCCGGGGACCGCGGGTCCTAGCGCAGCCAGCGGCCGGGCGCCTCCAGCTGAGGGGCGGCGGCGGCGGCAATGGCAGCAGCAACGTGGGGCGCCGAGCTCGTGGAGGGCAGCTCGCATTCTCCCTGCGGCCCGGCCATGGGCGCGCCGGGCAGCAGGGCCGCCGCCCGCGCGCCGCGGAGGATGCCTGTTCCTCCTCCCTCTCCGCCCGCCGCACGGCGCCTCAGCGTGCCCGGCTCGGGCCCCGCTACCCTCGCAGCCGCGGCCAGGCGGCCGGCAGCGGCGTCGCCTCCGCGAGCTCCTGGGGGAGGGCGACGCTCGGCTCCGCGGCGGGCATGCTGCGGGCGCACCGCCGGGGCGCAGCCGCGGGGAGGGGGCGGCGGCGCCTCCTTGTCTCGGCTTCCCCGGACTCGGGCGGGAGCGCGGGCGCCGCGTCCCCGGCGCTGGGAGGGCGCGATCGGGAAGCGGCAGCGCCGCCCGCCGGAGCGGCCCCCACGTGACCCGCGGAGGCGCCGCGTTTTCCCGGCACCGCCCCGGGGGCGGGGGCTGCGGAGAGCGCCGGTTGCGGGGCCCGGGGCGCCTGGCGGGGGGCGGGCCACCGCCCGGGACCGCGCTGGGCTGAGAGGTCGTTCCCGCGGCGGATGTGGGGGCCAGGCCCCCCTTGCTGGGTTCTCCAGCGTCAGGCTCTTTGTTGGCCCCCAGTCTCTAAGGATTTCTTTTTCTTATTCTCTAATGCGTCGGATCCGCCGGCTTCCCTTACTCACCCTTTACCTGCTCCCCTGCAGCTCGCGCTGCATTCACACCGTGGTGGAACTGGCAGAACCTGGGGGCCCTGGGTGTCATCATAGGAGCTTAGGACAAAAGTGTGGTTAAACAAAAGCAGGAGAAGAGCAGGCAACCATTCATTCATTTGGTAAATATTTCCTGAGGCCCTATTTCGTGTTGAACATGAGACAGGAGTAATGCAGGGTGGTCAGAGAAGAAAAAATACCAGGCTGCAGTTTCACTCGACTAGAGGTTATGGGCTGAGAAGACCCTGAAAACCAGGGTGTGTTTCAAGCGGGCTAAGACCCGCTGAACCCAGCGTGGTCCTGGATTTGACTTAGGTTTGTCCTAGGACCTCATTATATGCTCATTAACATTTGAAATCACCCCAGTGCCGTGACAGTTCCGGGGACACCCATATTTAAAGTAAAAATGGGTGGCACCATAGTCCCGAGATATCTCCCCACTTTTTCAGGAATTTTCACGAATATTTCGCCCCTTGGTTAAAGAAGTCCATGAAGGTAGCCACCCCAAACCCCCTTGCGTGTGACCCTCTTTTTAGTATACCCACAACCCCTTTTCCTGAGTGTACTTTCCCCTTTGCAATAAATCTCCATATTGTCACTATTTTCTTTGTTGTCCTTGAACTCATTCTCTGGACAGTGTCAAGAGCGTGAACCTTGGCTGGGGTCAATGTCACACTGGCATTAGGGGATCTCCCCCAGCCCACCGGTATCAGACCTACCGAAACACAGGTTTTAAGCCCCTTGAGGAAGGCTTTTGAGCAGGTGCCCCACCAGTCTAAAGGCGGGTTGTTAGGGTGGGATACAAGGTGTTTTATCTGAGGTATCCCATTTATCTTCACAGCAACCCCGTGAAACAACAACCATATCCCCAGTAATACAGTGCATGTTGCTCTGTGGGTTTAAGAAAACGCCAGCTGTTTCAGGCAAAACTCGCAATCCAGTGGCCAACTCTAATGCTTATTTTTCTTGCTGTTAGAAAACATTTCTTTGAGCTCACATCTATGCTAAGTCAATAATTTCTTCCGAACTTACAAAAGCCTGGAAACCTACCAAGACTCCCAATGTCCCTCAGGTCTGTTGATAAGGAAACAAATAGTTTTCAGGGACCGAAAACTGCATTTAATTGGTTAAAGGCACCACCAGACCCACTGCAGCTCTACCTGACACACACTATGGCTGTCATTTGGGGACCCATATTCTGTGCAGTAACATGAGGAGTTAGTCTTTCCTAAGAGATCAGCTGAACATCTGAGGCTGGAAATCCATCCGACTGATGGTTATCAGGCTGTGGGCAATACATGCTGTAACTAGAGGATGTTCCCCAGGTGTGCTGGGGCCCCGAGGCTCTGACACCACAGGTGAAATGTAAGTGAACAGCGAGAGTAATTTGTGTTCTCTCTGAAGGACTTCCCAAGAGTTCAAATGGCTCAGGGTAGCCCTACCCACATTCCCTCCCAGAGACACTCAGAATTTTACAAGAAATATTCGAATTATCTAGGCTGACCATTTTTTCCCCCCACAGAGGAGGAAATGGGTGCAAAGGTAACTGACTTCTCAATCAGCCAGCAAGGCAGAGCACAGGCAGGACTGCTAACTCCCCATGTGGAAGGTATTCCGGTGATCATCACCCATACTCACACTGTTCTCAAGCCTGACCCCAAATTCTCCATCCTGCAGCTCCTTCTAACACAAATATGAACTCAGCCTGGGTAAGGAGACTGGAGTAGGTATCACTGTCCTATACCACCTTATGTGATCTCAGTAACTGGTAGCTGTTCCTTTTTAGAAGCCATCAGAAAATTATACATCCTTCTGCAGAAGCTGGAATCAATTGAAAAAAAGAAAATTGTGCTCACTTCAGCAGCACATATACTAAAATTGGAATGACTCGGAGAAGATTAGCATGGCCCCTGAGCAAAGATGACATGCAAATTCATGGTGTTCATTTTTAAATAATATTGTTATTTAAAAAATTATTTTAAAAACAAAAAATGGCCGGACGTGGTGGCTCATGCCTTTGGGTAATCTCAGCACTTTGGGAGGCCAAGGCGGTGAATCACTTGAGGTCAGGAGCTTGAGACCAGTCTGGCCAACATGGCAAAACCTGGTCTCTACTAAAAACATAAAAATTAGCCAGACATGGTGGCGCACACTTGTAATCTACAACTACTCAGGTGGTTGAGGCAGGAGAGTTGCTTGAACCTGGGAGGTGGAGGTTTCACTGAGCCAAGATCACACCACTGCACTCCAGTCTGGGTGGCAGAGTGAGGAGACTCTGTCTCAAAAGAAAATTATACTCCTTTTTTTTTTTTGAGATAGTATCTTATTATGTTGCTCAGGCTCAAGCCATCCTCCTGCCTCAGCCTCCTGCGTAGTTGGGATTATAGGCATATGCCACCCTGACTAGCTTATACTTCCATTTTAAATGTCCTTGGAAAACTGTACTCTGCCCTTGTCAGGAGACCATCTGTAATTTGCTTTATCTGATGAAAAGAATTGGATAGGACCCTGAGCTCAGGCCTCACTGAAGCCCTAAAGCCTGGTGTGAATAAGTCTGCTCAGTGGGGCAATTCTTTGTGAGTCCCTCCGCCTGCCATGTGCTGATAGAGTCAATATAGTAGTAAGCCTTGTAAGAATCCTTGTCTGTGAGTTCTTTGAAAGTCAGTATGTTGATGGGTGCAGTGGCACACGCCTGTAATCCCAGCACTTCCAGAGGCTGAGGTGAGCATATTGTTCGAGCTCAGGAGTTCGAGACCAGCCTGTACAGCAAGATAAGACCCCATCTCTACAAAAAATACAAAAATTAGTTGGATGCGGTGTCTCACATCTGTAGTCCCAGCTCCTCAGGAGGCTGAGGTGGAAAGATCGCTCAAGGCTGCAGTGAGCCAAGATTGCACCACTGCATTCCAGCCTGGGAAGCAGAGTGAGATGCTGTCTCAAAACACAACACAGCACAACACAATACAACAAAATAAAGCCAGTGTATTAAAACCTAGAAAGTCAAATCAGAACTCAATGATAAAAGAAGACTCTTTGGAAAGAAATTGTGTTCCATATAGCTTTAAACATTTTTTCTTTGTGCTCTCCATGTTCAAAGAAATTGCTTACTAAAGAACTATAGAAATGATAGGTGGGCTGGGCACAGTGGCTCACACCTGTAATCCCAGCACTTTGGGAGGCCGAGGTGGGCAGATCATAAGGTCAGGAGTACAAGACCAGCCTGGCCAACATGGTGAAACCCCATCTCCACTAAAAATACAAAAATTAGCCGGGAGTGGTAGCACACCTGTAGTCCAATATAGTAGTAAGCCTTGTAAGAATCCTTGTCTGTGAGTTCCTTGAAAGTCAGTATGTTGATGGGTGCAGTGGCACATGCCTGTAATCCCAGCACTTCCAGAGGCTGAGGCGAGCAGATTGTTCGCCTACTCCGGAGGCTGAGGTAGGAGAATCGTTTGAACCTGGGAGGCAGAGGTTGCAGTGAGCTGAGATCACACCACTGCACTCCAGCCTGGGCAACAGAGCAAGACTGTCTCGGAAAGGAAAAAAAGTGATCCATCAAAGTATCTTTTTTTTTTTTTTTTTTTTTTCTCAAATTGAGACAGGGTCTGGCTCTGTTGCCCAGGCTGGTCTCGAACTCCTGTGCTCAAGTAATCCTCCCAAGTATCAACCCAGGCAAGAAGGACTCCTGTCATGGACACCTAACCTGGCCTTCCTCTCACCATGCTGCACCCCTGGTGGTTAAGCTCCTGATAGGCCAAGGGGCATGCCCCCTCCACTTTCTAGAACACACGTCGTATGGAGGATCCTGAATTCCCAATGCAAATAGTGTCAAGCCTGGATGGGAAAGTGGGGCAGTCTTTCATAGTCATTCAAAGGAAGTTGTTGAAATGGGCTTCCCTAGGCCTGGGGGTTGGGCAGGAGCTGGACTTCAGCTGTTTAACCACGAAACTCCTCTCTGTGCTGGATGAAACCCAGGTTAGGACAAGGAGTGTGAGTGTGCCACATCTGATAGGGTGATGTAGCACATTTAGATATTTAGGCATGTGGTATGTGGGCCTTCACATGTACCCTTTCCCTGGGACCTGCAATGGATAGGAGTGGCCCTGCAAATGGTAGGGTTTTTCTAAAAGCAAAAACAACAGCGTAGTTTGGAGAACAGGAACTCTATTATAAACGTTCTTGTCTTAGAGATCTATCCAATGTCATGGACCTAATCTATAAACTTTCCAAAACCTTTTCAGCTTAAGCCTTTTAATGTATTCTGTTTTCTGACTCTTAGATTGTGTTCTCTTTCGCTGCTGCCTTGTGATGGCAAGAACATTTCATGCACATTGGCCTTTTCTCAGAGTCCAGACCCTCTCTGCAAGGACAGAGTCATTAGGAGAGTGGAGAGCACATGGAAAGAGGTTGTGTCTTAAGTGAGGCCTTAAAACATGGCTGTTTGGAGAGGAGAATCCTAGATTCTCCAGATAAGTGTCTTTTGTCAAGAACAGTCTTGATTGGCCACGCATGGTGGCTCACACCTGTAATCCCGGCACTTTGGGAGGCCGAGGTGGGTAGATCACTTGAGGTCAGGAGTTCAAGACCAGCCTGGCCAACAGGGTGAGACCCATCTCTACTAAAAATACAAACAAATTAGCCCGACATGTTGGTGCACTCTGGTAATCTCAGCTACTCAGGGGGCTGAGGCAGGAGGATCGTTTGAACCTGGGAGGTGAAGGTTGCAATGAGAAAAGATCACACCACTGCACTCCAGCCTGGGTGACAGAGCAAGACTCTTCTCAAAAAACAAAAGAGCAAAAAGTCTGGATGGAGGAGGACAAGAGTAGTTTATTTCTATCCTTTGCTAAAACTATCAATGAGCCCCAAGTAAGCTTCCTTCCCTGGTTTCTTTTGCTCTGTCTTTAACATACTCAGCCTTCCTCCATCTCGACAGAATTATCTCGACCTTGCTAATGCCCTAGCCACTGTCTGACTACTTTACTTCCTTTCTCTGTCAAATATCTTCCATAATTGGTCTAGGCTAATCTGGCTTCTCTCCCCTGGTTCCCTACTTGGGCCAGTCCAGGAATCCGGTTTCCATCCCCTCCATGCCATCAGCCTTGCCCTCTAAAAGGTCAACTCACCCTTTGTCCTTCCTTGACCTCCCATCACTGAAAATGTTAAACAACTTCCTTTGGAAACTTTCTCCTTTCTTGGCCTATACGATATTTTGTGTCACTTTAAGGTTTGAGTTTTCAAAAAGAGTCCCTGTAAAGGCTAATTATTTCCTTCTAGGGATGAAGTTTGCAATTAGAGTAAGTGCTACCAAATGAAGCACTGTAACTACATGGGCAGAGTGGCCAGGATTTGCCTAGATAACGATAGTTTCTGAGGGGGACATTTAGTCAATACGTTTTTTCCACTTATATTTAGATTATTCTATTACTATTAAAGATGCATTTAGAAAATCATATGAGTGCACTTTTCCATTGAATTTTAATTTTATCAATTACAACTTCAATCAAGTCTTGATGTTAAGGTGACAAAATGTTCCAATGTGCACAAGACAGAGGGGTTTCTCAGGATAGGAGACAGTCTGTCCTTAAAGCTAGGGTAATCCTAGGAAACTAGTACAATTTGTTAATTGACTTGGTCTTTAAAACAAACCCTTTAACTTGCTCTCCCTTTACCCTTCAGGAGTTCAGAAAGCACAGCTTCCAGGATATGTAGTACTTTTTCAGCTGCTTTAGTTCTGATTTAGACTTTGGTTCTGATTTCGTTTACCTAGCTGTTTGCTAGCTTAGAAGACAGGATATTCATGGGCTGGAGGCTCCAACTGACTTTGGACTATGAAAACTACCTGTCTAGTCTTGAAAGAAAATTTGGCAATCGTTTAACCCTTCCATGCAAATGAGACCCAGGGCTGGGTTACAATATCTCACGAGAAAATGAAGTGGGTTTTCTCCTTGAAGTCTGGAGAAGCTGAGGATATATTGCCTGTATCATGAAAAGGAGCAAAGGACTTCCCACAGTTCCCCTTCCTTGTAATTTTAGATCATATTTTGCTTTAAATGAATGACAGCAGCAGCAATGCTTCCTCCTATGTAGCTAAAGGTAACTAAGAGAAAATCTCACCTCATGACTTTAATCAGGGCACACCCTTCTTGGCTTGTCTTTGGAGGAGATAGAAGTGGAAAAAGTCAAGGGAAAAACAGAAAGAGGAAAAGGAAGAGATATTTTTATTTATTTATTTTTTAGATAGAGTCTTGCTCTGTTGGCCAGGCTGGAGTGCAGTGGCATGATCTAGGCTCATTGCAATATCTGCCTCCCCGGTTCAAGCAATTCTCCTGCCTCAGACTCCCAAACAGCTGGGACTATAGGCATGCATCATCAAGCCTGGCTAATTTTTGTATTTTTAGTAGAGACAGGGTTTCACCATGTTGACCAGGCTGGTCTCAAACTCCTGATCTCAAGTCATCTGCCCACCTCAGCCTCCCAAAGTTCTGAGGATTACAGGCGTGAGCCACTGCACCCGGCCCAGAAGAGATATCATCCCTCTAAAAGGTGTTAGGCTTGGTCCAGAGCAGGGGATTTGAAATAAAGTCTTAAAGATTGACATCAAAGAGTTTTACCAAAGGAGGACTTGGTGGTCATGTCATTCTCTCCTTGTGCTGGGCATCACTCACAGAAATCTCAGAATAATCGCCAGTCCTAATAGCTAACAGCTCTTTAAAGTTTTCTATGCACCTAGGCACCGTGCTGTGTGCTTTTCGTGCAATATTTCATTTAATCTTCACAATAGTTCTGAAGAGTAGTTTCCATTAGCCTCATTTACAGATGGAGAAAAATATAAGCAGAGCTATTGAGTGGCAAAATTCACTCAAAATGAGACTGACTGTAAAACCCATGTATTTAATCACTGCGCTAATTCTTGGGGTTTGGGAGGGTGGAGGGGATGGGTTCTTAAT